TGTTAATCATTTTTGAAGTTAAATTCTATAGTAAGGCATGACAACATATAATACAAAGACTATTTTCAGGCGAAACAATCCCATTTTGGCCTTTTTGCTTTTAAGGAATATTTTATACTCTACCGAGATTTGAGAATAGAAACTTGGCAGTAGGTTTTGTTCCTTGACACGCAGGAAAGGAAGTAACAAAATTCCTTCAAGGAGGCTGGAAGGGAAGGACCAGAGACCAGAGGAAGAGCTGAAGAGGGAGTTTCTCTGCTCGCCCCTGGGACTGCATGTGTCCCTGAACCACCTTGTGCGGTGCTCTTTCTTCAGTGGAGCACATTAGCCTCCCTTCAGGGAGTCCTATTCTTTCACACTTGCAATGCCAAGGATTGTTAAAAAAAAAATTAAAAGAACCCACATTAGGACAACTCTTTGACAGCAGTGTGAAATAATTTCTCAGCAAATTGCAAGGTAAGTTAAATGTTTAATGATTTTTGCTTTCTGATTTTTACTGCACAGCAAACATTTACATTTATTATTCTTTTCTATAAGATGGGACACTGTGTAGAAATCGTGGCTTTTAGAAAAATTAATCCAAGACTAGTTCCAAGATGATAGAGATTAAGGATATCTCAGGTGCCAAACTCTTCTAAAGACATTGTACCACTGCATTATCCCTGATATCAACCCCCACTCCTCGCCTTCGTACGTTCCCTTACATCCCAGGGCTCCATTTGTTACAATGGCCACACAGAACTCAGAGCATGCAGGCAAATGACTCACGTACTTGGACGTGCTGGGGAGTCCCACATCCAAAGTTGAGATGTCCATGTGGAAGATCCTCCTTATCCACAATAGTGTGGACGCTCATTAGGTCAGGTGACAGGCTGAAACTCAAGACTTCAGAGCCACTGGTCAGGTAAAAAACAAACAAACCAGATTTGCGATCGAAAAGATGCTACCCATTCCTCGCTCTCCTTTGTTATGGTAGTGAAATCCCACCTGTTCCTTCTGAGAAGGTTCGCCTTCCACCAACAGCATAGCAAACACAATAAACCCTTTTAACAATCGCTTGTGGCTGAATCATGGAATCCAATCAACAGCATGCCTTACCTTCTTACCTGGATCCATCTTCTCACTCTCAACCCCAAAAGCCATTTGATGGGAGTAACAAAGAAGAGCCGTACATAACCTACTATACTGCACACTGGAGTATGTCTCTCGTATCTCTGACATTTGTTTCTCCTGAATGAATCATCTATGGTGAATACATTTGTCAACAGTATCATGTAAAGACATGGTGATAATGGTTCTTAACCCTTAGCGCTCACACTTACCTAAGTAACCATGGTGTCCCCCTTTGCGATGAAGACCATCGGTGCTCCCTCAGAGTTAATAGGATGCTTGCTGACTTTTACTTACATTTGGCCCAAGTGTTTCAGAAGCTTATGGTTCAAAGAATAACCATAGAGCTAGCAAACAGGCTTTCTAATCAATATATTGGCCAAAGTCCACCATACTGGAGATCAACAGACCTGGCCAAGGATTTGGGGAGCATGAGAGGTAAGAGAGAGGCAGAAAAAAAATGATCAATATCCTTTAATATGTATTTCTGATCTAGCTTTTGAAACAAAGTCATAGTCTATTGTGTATCAATACCTGAATGCTAAAGATCCTTAACCTTCAGATTTGAAACAGAAGCAGGAAAAAAACAACCTGATCAATCAAACAGAAGCAGCTGCATGTTCCATACAGACCTGTCACAGTGTTATCCTGGCTACAGAAAATTTAATGCGAACTAGGGGAAAAAACAGGATAAAATATTTCCACATGGATCTAGGTTTTAGGGTGTGTGTGTGTCTTGAAAGGTTTTTTTTGCCCTTCATTAACTGGAATTTAACATTAATTTCTTATTGTCCTATATGCAGAGTTGTTTTGAAAAGATTAAAATATTTGAAGAGATAAACATTGAAATTGTTGGGCAAGCTAGTACATTAGTGAGACAAATTCTCAACTGATACACACATCCATATATATACATATATTCTAAGCATAAAAAAATTAAAACACTGCATTCTGTGAAAACCCTGGAATTTAGTAGCATGAGCTGTATGGTTAAATTGTACCTCCGCTCCCGCTATTCTCTTCTGATAGACACACAGAGTGATATAATTGTATAAATGTGTTTCAAATTAAAGCACTCCATCAGGTGAGGAAAAAATGATTGAAGTAATATTGAAATAAAATTCCTTGTTTCAATTCTCCAGCCTCTGTGATAAAAGAATGTTCTGCAAAATGAGAAGTATCAAGTTATCATTTAGAGAAGCTAGCAGCTGAGCTAATTGGCAGAATTTGGCAACGATGACTGTATTTGAAAGGGAAAGTGCCACCTTTAGTTTGTCAGGTAGTGACAGAGTTCCTGCAGTAGGTTCTATTCTTCTTGAGAGGAAATTAATTTCCTGGACTCAAATACGGTGAATTATAGGCTTTGTCTCCTTCTGCGTTGGCCACAGAAGCAACTCCCAGGCTTTTTATTCAGCGACATTACATGGGCTGGTAAAGCAAGCAGGGACATATTCGGCATGTAAAGGTTTTACCTGCTATGTTCACCAACTCCGGAACATAGCGTATTGCCACTTGGAGATTGGAAGCTCTTCCTTTTAAGTCACTGTTCCTGTTAACAGTTACAGTCTCAGAAACCCATAGGGCGGTTATAGCCTGTCCGAGAGGGTTGCTATGGGTTAGGGTTGACTTGCTGGAATTGAATTGTTTGTAAGCTTTTATGTTGAAAGGAAAGGAACGGCAAGAAAGCCCCCTGCCAGTAAAAGAAACCACAGCACATTTTGGAAATGGAGTTGCAACGTTGTATGGCTAAGTATGTACATAGGTAAAGATACATATATGAGATCTTGCAGAAATATTGAAAGCAATTGTTAAAAAATGGTTTAACTCAACAACTCAACTCACTGCCATCGAGCCAATTATGACTGATAGAATTTGAATTTGCTCGGTGAGTTTTTGAGACTGTAAATCTTTATGGGAGCAGAAAGCCTCGTATTTCTCCCACAAAGCAGTTGGTGGTTTCAAACCACGGGCTGAAGTTAGCAGCCTAACTAATAACCCACTGTGTCATGAGGACTCCTTACAAAATGAGAGTAGTAAAAAAGAAGCACTATAGCAGTCTTCTAAGCTCTTGCGTGTGTGTGTGTGTGTGTGTGTGTGTGTGTGTGTGTGTCTTTAGTTGATATGTGTGCAATTGTGAGGCTATTTAACTTCAGTCTACATAATTCAAAAGAATAAAGTGTTTTGAGAGTAAAATGGTGTGATATTTATAATTTCTCACAGACCATCTTTTTCTGCGGCACAAGAGAGAGGATGGGGATATATGGGAGAAAAGACAATGCATGCAATCCATAAAGAAAAATGAGCTGGAGTCACACATGGGATAGAATTCTCTCTATCCAGTTTCTAGTCTTTTAATAAAAATCAAGCTTAGTAGGGAAAGAGACTCTTAGCCCCTCCTCTCTATTGCCTCCATACGCAGCCTTCTCTCTCAGTTCCAGTACCTGTTCAGCCATGGAGAAGACATTGAGATACCTGTCATGCTTTTCTTGTACTTGAACTACATTGTGACCAAAACCTAGTGAGGCTATTGTTAGTTGAGTCAAGGTAGCCATTTATTGATTGATTATTGTGTATGGGGCCCTTAAGGTTGACTTTAACCAAATCTGGAAAGCAGTTAAAAACCAAGGGGAGGGGATAGAAAGGGGGAACTGATCACAATGAACGACATATAATCCCCTCCCATGGGCATCAACAGCAGAAAAGTGGATGAATGGAGACAGCGGTTGGTGTAAGACATGAAAAAAATAATAATTTATAAATTGTCAAGGGCTCATGAGGGAGGGAGGGTGGGGGAGGGCCGAGAAAATGAGCTGATACCAAAGGCTCAAGTAGAAAGAAAATGTTTTGAAAATGATGATGGCAACATATGTACAAATGTGCTTGGCACAATGGATGGATGGATGAATTTTTAAAGAGCTGTAAGAGCCCCCAATAAAATGATTTATTTAAAAAACAAGAGAAAATATTTTCTTGCTTCTCTCCAAAGGTTAGCTTTTTCTACCATTTTTTTCTACCATTTCTACCAAATAATATACATACATCCTTACATGAACTAATGCCATCTGAAAAGAAATTTTGTTTTAATTTGTCAGTTGTTATTTTATAGATATACCTAAAATTATACTTTAAAATGTAGGAAATTGGGCTTTTCAAAACTCCTAGACGCACGTATGCTTTGTTTCAGTATATCTTTCCATGGATATAAGCAGCACGACCGCTGAGGAATTCAGCTTCCAATGATCCTGACTCTGGAGTCTAGCGCTACCTCTCAGTGTTGCCTGACGACATGAATTTGCTTCTTAAAACGTCAAAGTATTGTATTTTGAAAGCCATAGTGTTAGATAGTAGAGCTGTTCTGATTCCATTTTACTTGATAGGCTTATAGCTTTCCATCCAATAAACCAATATGTCTCTTTAGAGCTAAACTGGGCCTATTCAGGTCAGCACTTAAAAGACCCCGTTAACAAAAGTGTTATGTGAAACAGAAAATATAGTAAACAATCTTTTCCCACATGCTAGATTCACATCTTTGCCACTGAATGGTTTCTAACTCAAATGACCCTTTGCAACAGAGTGAAATCAGCCCATGCGTTTTCTCCATTGCACGCTTTCTAGAGGAGATCGCCAGAGACGTAGCCCAGTGAGACACAGCTGGGCTTCCAGCTCACCATGAGCGCTTAGCTGGTGATCGGTTAGGGCATCTCGGAGTCATAGTCCTTAGTTCTCAGTGACCATGATGCACATGGGTGGTGACACTGATCAGCAGTGTACGCTCACCAAATCAGTAGGTGTTAATCAGTTCGGCACAGAGAGAGAGATGAATTGTCAATGTAGCTCTCTGTCCCGCAAACCCCACAATCACTTTGTGTGTGCTCTTCTCTTTCTTATAGCCAATCCCACCCGAGCAGGCGGAAGAGAGCCATACCCAGGCTCCGCAGAAGTGATTCGGGAATCCAGCAGTACCACAGGGATGGTGGTCGGGATCGTAGCAGCTGCCGCTCTGTGCATCCTCATCCTCCTGTATGCCATGTACAAGTACAGAAACCGAGATGAAGGCTCGTACCACGTGGACGAGAGTCGAAACTACATCAGTAACTCAGCACAGTCCAATGGGGCTGTGGTCAAGGAGAAACAGCCCAGCAGTGCGAAGAGCGCCAACAAAAACAAGAAAAACAAGGATAAAGAGTATTACGTCTGATCCCACGGTTGTAAAAGGACGCTTGTATAAAAATAGTCTTCATTTTATCTGAGACATGATATAAACTTATTTACTTTCCTTTTTATGAAGCACATACAAAAAGAAGACAGGGAATGCAATCAGGAAGGAAAGACTGTTTTTAAAAAATAAAACAAGTATCTCATGCTCTTGTTTCTCAAAAAAAAAAAAAAAAAGAAAGAAAGAAAAAGAAACAAAACAGGGGCCAATAAATTCCCTAACATCCACAGTGTTTTCATTTACTCTGCCTGTCTTTATGTTGCTGGGACACTTCTAAAGACAGTGACGACGGCACGCATTCATAAAGCAAAGGAGTATTCCAGCAAGGCACAACACAACAACAACAACACAACACACCACACACACAAAAAGAAGCTACCTATGATCCTGGATTTAGCCAAAGCGCTAGTGCTTTCCTGAGAAGTCAGTTAGCCCAATTGCCAGAAAAGACTCTGGGATGTTGGGTGACTCCGCTGCAGACCCTTCCGAGTTTGCCGCCTGGCCCTGCTGCAGCACTGCTTGGAACCTGCGTTGTAAACAGAGTGCTGGCTTTTTTGGAAGACTTGTGTAGAACACATTCAGAAAGCCCCTTTCTGGTTGTAAGGGAAAAATAAAAATAAAAATATATAGTACGGAGGCCTTATTTTCAAAAATGTGAAATATAAGGCACATGTTCACACAAATTTAAAAGTTAAAACGAGGGCATAGATGCAATCATTGGGAAATTTTCATGCACGCTTAATATGTTACTACATATGTTTATATAAAATCCATCTCTGTGTGCTTTCTGGACTGTGATAAGTGACGTTTTATAGCCTGTTGTATAGAAAATGCAAACTATATCTCTGCTCTTCAGCCATTTTTGGTAAATTCAATGTTACAAGTGTTGCTAAGTATAGAGAGTTTATGATGACTGGAGCAACAGTTATTTCAGTTTGGGGTTATTATTTTTATTTTTTATTTTTGCCACCATTATAATTGCCATAATTATTTACTTTAAAAGATACAATGTAGTGTTTATTCTAAGGAAGATATGTATGAATGTATATAAAAAGACTCAAATACTTTTTTTCTTACACGTACAGCCTTCATTCTGTTGCAATTAAATTTTAGTATTTGTACGAAAGGTGTGAATTAGAAGGCAAAATATATACATATATCTTATAATATTCTTTTCTCCCCCAAATAGTCATATTTTCCACACACATTTGCCATTTGCTATCACACATATGCACAGCATACACAAACACACACATCCTGATATTGCTAACCTTGGAATTCATTGACTACGATGGGAAATTCAAACATGCATATCGTAGCAAATATTTACTGACAAATTGAAAAGCAGGAAGGAAGATAGTTGTGCCAAGATACGGATGACAAATGAGGTGATTTGCTTCAGTGAGATCTTGTTCCCAGGAAACCCTGAAAAGATTTTTGTCCCTAATGAATTGGAACCTTTTCTTATCAAATAAAATATAACTGGTTATACTGCTGCATGAATATGAATCATTACGTGGGCAGGTTATGGAAACAAGATTGGTTGAGCTAAGAGTACATCTTAACCCTGGCGGCAGTAATGAACAACTTGGGTTTCTAATAAGATGTACATGTTCTTTAAACCTGATGTGCATGGTGAACATGTTTGGAAAGTTAACACCTTCTCAAATAAGAAAGTATTTTCAACAATTTTTAATTCTGTATTACTACCCTTCTGGAAAAAAAAACCCTGTTGATTATTGATCATATTTTTACTCTTCTGGTTTTACATATATACCATTAAATGTAGTGTTAGCTTAACACACATTAAGTAGTAGAATGTTTGGAGTATACACTTGTTTTGCATATCAATTCAAGGATGTTCATAGCAATAAATGGTCAGCATAATAAGGTAATGCACAAAATGCGTTATAGATGGTGAGGCGATGCAGCGGTAAAAACTGGCTGCATTCCTAGGACATTTCCTGAAGGAGATATCTTACAACCTTATATAAAATAGAAGAGGAGAACACATTTACAAATAGCTTTAATCAGCAAAGGCAAAAAAAATTAAAAACATCTTTTGTGATACTTTAGTTGATTTAAAGAACAAAAAACTGAGCATTGCCTTGGGTTTCCTGACATACAGCATCCTAGAGATGCATGTAATTCCTATAAAATATCACTGTCGAGGACGGTCAAGTCATTCCTGTGTATGGAGAGTCTTTAAGGATGTTCATGACCCAGG